GGAGCCCTCACAATGGGATTACTGCCCTTTTAAAAGAGACTCCAGAGAGCTCCTTTGTCCCTTCTGCCAGTTGAGGTTATAGGGCAAAGACAGTGCTTACGAACCAGTAAGAGGGCTCTCACCCAACATGGAATCTACCAGTCTTGATCTTGGACTTTCCAACTTCTAGAATCATGAGAAATACATTTCTGTTGCTTATAAACCACCCAGTCTATGGTATTTTGCTATAAGGCAGCCCACACTAAGAGACTAGAGGTGGCAGTTGATCAGTTAAGCAGCCCTCAGCTCTGCCCAGAATGCCCTCCTCATCTTCCTTCTAATGGATAATTCTTTCTTTTGTTTTTTAATGTTTTTATTTATTTTTTGAGACAGAGAGAGAGAGAGACAGAGCATGAGCAGGAGAGGGGCAGAGAGAGAGAGAGGGAGACATAGAATCTGAAGCGGGCTCCAGGCTCCAAGCTGTCAGCACAGAGCCCGATGCGGGGCTCGAACCCACAAACCGCGAGATCATGACCTGAGCTGAAGTCGGACTCTTAACCGACTGAGCCACCCAGGCATCCCCGTGGATAATTCTTTCTTATCCTTCAAAGCCTTAGCTCAGTAATAACTTCTTCGGGAAGCTCCCCCTTCGACTGAGTCTTCCTGCTGTGCTTACAGAGCACACCCAGGACTCTCCAGTGTCGGTGGCCACACCACCCTGGGGAGTCTGTGACTGCATCTTTCTCCCTGCACTGTGCGTTCCCCAAGAGCAGAGCCTGTCTTGTTCATTCTGTGTTCCCACTTCCTAGCAGAAAGCTTAGTTTTGCCTGCACAGTCTCATCCCTCCTCATGACAACCATGTAACACAGACATGAGAAAAGATGAAGAGATGCGCGGTAACTTGCCTGAGATCCCATAAGTAGCAAAAGGTTGAGGTGTTGTTGGATCTAGGCAGTCTGATTTCAGAGTCCGGGCTCCAGACCACGGAGACCCCACGCGTTCAATAAAGGCTTGTTGAATGAATTAAGGGGCTTCTTTCTTTCTCTGTAGCCAGCACCTAGCACCTAAGGTTTGACACTGCTAAGAACCAACATTGCCGCCACAACCACCTTTACGGAAGGCTTATTAAGTACCGGGCACTATGCTCGGCATTTTGCGTATACTGGATTAATTGCACGTTACCATTGAAACAAATTGCTGCGAACTTAGTGCCTTAAAATAACAAATTTATTTCCCTACAGTTCTGGAGATCAGAAGCCTGAAGTATGTTTCAATGGGCTAAACTCAAGGTGCTGGCAGGCAGGCCTGTGTTCCTTCTGGAAGCTCTAGGGAAGAATCCATTTCTTTGCTTTTTCTTGCTTCTAGAGGCCAATTGCGCTCATGGCTTCTTCCTCCATCTTCAAAGATGCCGGTAGTAGTGTAGAATCTTCTCTCATACCTGATCTCCATTTCCATCCTTTCATTTTTCTCTCTCTGACCCTGATCCTCCTGCTTCCCTCTTATAAAGACCCTTGTGATTATATTAGCCCCCCCCCCCCATAATCCAGGATAATCTTTCTACCTCCAGATCTTTAATCACATAGACAAAGCCCCCTTTGCCATATTAAGCAATATATTCACAGTTTCTAGAGACTGGGACATGGACATCTTTGGGGGAAATTGTGCAGTCTACGACATATACCATCTCATTTAACCCTTGTACAGTAATGCTGTGACATAGTGGTACAAGCTCCACTTAATAGGAGTGGAAGATGTGTGGCACACGGGGGTGCTCATAAGTGTTCGTGGGGATGATCTGGTGTGACAGCTGATTGATAATACATTGTTCTTCACTGGACAGAAGGTCCTGAAGGATGTATCCAGTCCTGTGTCTTCCCTAAAATCTTCTCTACAATCCCCCCGGCCCACCCCGGGGCAGGTGGAGGCTCCATCAGAGTGCTTAGCACTTAATTGTTTCCCTGGCCTGACTCTTCTCCCAGTGAGATCACTATCTCCTTCAGGGAAATTGTATTCCTAATTCTTTGTCTCTTCCCATGATGCCCTGGGCTTTTCACAGACTTCATTTTCTCTCTTGTAGTCCTTGAAAGGAGGGAGTATGTGTCCATTTTGCAGAAGAGCAAAGTGAGGCTCAGGTTACATGCAGGGTCATTTCTTTTTTTTTTAACGTTTTATTTATTTTTGAGAGAGAGAGAGACAGAGACAGAGTACAAGTGGGGGAGGGGCAGAGAGAGAGGGAGACACAGAATCTGA